CCTCGAATGTAGCGCCCACTCTGCTCCTTCGTTTAACGTATATATAGCCATGTGATTTGGATAGATAAAGCTTTCTCATTCTCCCTTTCGTGCTTCTTATGCGGAGGCTCGTTTTACTTGTTACGCAGAATTATGTACCTGCCGTTTTTTTCATTTCTAAATATGTTGTTAGGTTGTACAAGACAACGAAAACGTGATTAACAACTTATTAGCATACTTTCTGTGTTAAGATAATCGTAACTCTAATGTTTCAGTCAACTGGTCACATTTCATACAATCAAGGTTCTTACATGGCTCAATGAGATCCGACAATTGATGTTGTTCTCATGATTGTACGACCAGGTCAAACTACACTAGTATTCAATTACAGTAATATTGCTCTTAATATTCACGACTTTTTGCCTCAATTGGATTTCAAATCTTATCCATGTTAAATGTAACTTATTAATAGGATATTCAAGATCGGCACGTATCATATCATATAGTTCGATTCACAAGTTGATGTAAAAGACGTGAGGTACATAGAAAAAAAAGAAGATGAGAGCAAGTGAAGGTGGCAAAAGAATTGGCGCAGCTGATCAAGTCTAGCTTCAGCAACGAAGCGAAGGAAAAAGGGGGACACAAAGGCGATCGAACGGCAGGCGGACGGAAAGACAGACAGGACCGGAGAGCGCTCATTACGGTGGCGGCGCATACTCGCGGAATGCGGTGGCGGGTCTTTCGTCTCTCTCTTTCTCTCTCGCTCTCTCTCTCTCTCTCTCTCTCTCTCTCTCTCTCTCTCTCATTCTCCGATACAATAAATATAGCATTGGATCTGAGGCGAACACTACCGATGCTGCTGCTGCTGGTGCAGAAGTGAAGTCAGAACGAAATGAGAGTGGCTGACGAAAACAATGCGCCAAGTATATAGTAACGACATCCAGTTTAATCGTCATTATACAGTTTTTATGAAGAGATTTAACAAGTCTCGAACTTTTATCGCCTTTACCAAGTTGGTCTTTACAATTACAAATTGAATTTAAATATAATGTCATGCAACTTCGTATCGTTTTTCTTTTAATCGCGAGGCAGCGTTGCATTATACCTATTTTCATAACATTTTTTCAAAGTTTGTAGATGCTCCTTCATCGTCGGAAAATAACTGGACAATATACACGCAAAGAAAATATTTCTATGTACTACGAAATGACTTTAATCTCATTAGTTTTAACAGTAATTTTACAAGCGCTACGCAAAAAGTCGTTTGGAATAAAGCCAAGCTAAATAATCAATTTATTACAACTGACAGCATAAATATTGCTGAGTCTCCATCGCGTCAGAGCTTCATTTAACAGCAGTAATTTAAAAGGATTTACAAGTGTAAAAAGCTTTGATTTAATTTGAGTCGCTCTACCTTCCCTCTTACAAGTGCACATAGGTATATTCTCTCTCTCTCTCTCTCTCTCGAGGGAAAGAGTGCAACGGCATATCGACTTACGATCGCTGATCAATCAAGTGACCGTGCGTCTCTCCTGCGAGAGCTCCAAGAGCGGCGTTTAATCGATGCGCTTAATAATTATTGACTGGCAGCGTCCAATTTGCGAGTCCGATCCTTTTTTCTGCTCGCCTCAGCGCGCAGCAACAGCTTATCAGGCTGTCCCGATCTTATCGCCCCCAACGAACGAAAAAAAATAAATAACACTAGGAACGAAAATTTCACGGGATGACGCTCTCTCTCTCTCTCTCTCTCTCTCTCTCTCTCTCTGTCTTGAGTAGCCTTGACTTTGAATATGAGCGGCTCGCGCATTTGCATGATGCGTGTAATTTAGTGCAGCCAGATAAAAACTTAGTTTCTTTGCTTGTATTTTGTTGTTGTCTTCTTTACCCTTGCCAAGTTTCATGTGAAAGTTGTTGCTTGAGATTGCATGGGATGAGTCAGTTTACTTATATGTTTACGTTGTGGCTAAGATTTTTCTAATTTCGATATATTTTAATTTATACTGATGATTAACGTAATTTCAATGCATTTCTTACCTATTTCAAATAAATGTTGAATTAAAGTAAGATTTCATTATTATATACAAATAACCAGAATCTTAGAAATAAATAAGAGGAGGCCATGCGATGAGGTGTTTTTTAAGTAAACTAGCTCACAATGATTGAGCGAGAAAGATTGCTGACAAGAAATTAGAAGTGATGGAAGATGATTAATCAAATAATTTCCTGAGTAATACCACTTTTTTGCTTAAATAAGATGACCAGACGTCCACTCGAAGAGAAAAGTCGAATAGTAATCATAATTGACGGTGTTCTACAATATTGAGTTTTTTATGATATTTTATTAAAAATGTTAAAAGCACTGGAATTTTTACTCTATTTAAAGTATTCTTGATTTGCGGCTATCATTGATATTTACATTGATACAACGAAAAGTCTTGAATAAAATTTCGGAAAAGCTTTCTTTGTAACTCAAGTCATTCTAAAATAAACAATTTGTTTCTGCTCTGGCATTATAATTTTAATAATGATAAATTATACCGTCCACGATTGGTAAAATACAAAGATTCCTTGTACTCCAATGAATATCTAAATTAAAACTGCCCTATTTTTGGATGATATTCTGAAAATTGAAAAAAATAGACTTGGAAGTTTATTTGATTTAAGACCTATTAAATACAGCGAAGATAAAACATTAGCCGACGACACCTCGGCAAGCATCTCATTTGAATTTCCCACTCAGCGTTATCTTCTCAGTAGTGTATCATCTCGACCGCGGTCGCAGCTCATTACGGAAGCGAAAAAAGAAATGACAAGTAAAAAAAATATAGAGATAAACGGACGAAAAGCGAAGGCAACGGGAGAGAGTCGAAAAAAGCTGCTCACCTATACGAAGTGAGACTTAGAAAGGAAGGAGTAGGAAGCCAGGGCGAGAAGATTGTCGGAGGCAGGAGAGAGAGAGAGAGAGAGAGAGAGAGAGAGAGAGAGAGAGAGAGAGCAGAGGGTCGAGCCTGATAACGTCAGCCACATTATTAATTACCTCGCGAGAGCGCAAGGTTCGGCTGTTTGCAATTAGCCGCCGATCGTTTATGGTTAATTGCGGCAAACGCGCGCGCGACTCCTATGCACTTATCCCTCCCGCCTTCTCTCGCCTCTACCACCATTAATTATGTCTCTCTTACCTCACTTGTTAATCCCTTTTCTTTTCAATTTTATAATTCTTTGAGTCTTTGCCGTTGTTGTTTCGGACGTCGTGTTTTTGTTTCTTTGTCGCTTCGCGCCGTTCACGGGGCTATTCTCCAAGCTACTCGCGTTTATAGAAGTTTTATCGCTCTTCGATAATAAAGTATTTAAGAGCGATGTTCGAGCTGCGAGTATCCTCGCGTAATTAAATTGCCTCTTGCGTTCGATCAAGGGCTCCTTTTTGTTCGTTCTTGTACCTACCTCCGTGCAAACAGGCCTATAAATTATTTTGGCATGAGCCTCATTACGCGCATAATTGTTCTCTCTCTCGCACCGACCGACACATTTTTTGTTACTTTTAGATTCGATTTAGATATGTTATTACGCCTAATTAATCTCTATTAATTATTGAAAAGTTTCACCGAGCTAAGTTTTTCAAAGGATGATTATTAATTGTCAGTGCTTTAATTCTCGGCGCGCGGTATACAGCAAGATTGATTTCTTTGTTATATAGCTAGTTATTATGAGCGACAATGTGAGTGATTACGTTAAAGATTCCATTTGCACGATAATGCTTTGGATGTTGACTTAAGGTTGCCACTTTGAGGCGCGAGAAAAAAAAACGATTTGATGGTAGTAATGCCGTCGATCGTTTGAAATAATTTGTAAATAATAACTGGCAAGGTTGGCGCTTGGTAGTAATCTCTCAAGAGCGACGCACGCAGAGACAGACAGGCAAGCACGCTCGAAAGCTCATCATACTCTCGTTACGATCTGTGCCACACAGCGCTTCACCGGGGCGACCGCTTGATTTACGTCTGAGCGCGCGAACAGTTTCTCGTTTGGCGCTGCAGCGAGCAGCAGCCACCGTTTGAACAATGGAACTGCCAAGTGGTCGTCGTGGCCTCTCGTCAATCTGGCCCTATCAATCACTCTATGTGTAGTCGGCTGCCCTCTGAATTTTCGCTTTTAATGGTTTATCTTGGCCTCCCGCGAACGCGCGCCGGCGGACGAGCGACGCTCGTTAAGCTTTTGACAAACGAACCTCGCGAGCGCGCGGCACTGCACTGGAATTAGCGATTCGCCGAGGATGCATATTGCAAGTCGCACTGGGCAAATATCCATTGCCAGCTGCAATTTCGAAAATTACACGTCGCCGACGCACAAACGCGGAGTGCCGGCGAATCCTTCAAAATTGATATTTCACTTGGCAACGGCGCAGAGGAGGCTCGCTCGTGCGCGCCCCCAAACGCTCATTATCACAACAACGTGCGCTCGCGTGCACGCTTATTAAATCATAATTATTCCTCGCTGATCGCGCAAGGAGGAGAGAAGAGCAGCCTAATGCATCGTCTATGAAATCGAGCCATTAGCTCACCTCTACACTTAGCCCCGCTCGCGCGCATCACGCCTCTTCGCACGACTGATCGACGCGAAGCGCAATTATTAAGTTCAACGGGAAGAACGCGAGTCATTAAGGCTCGCGGGGCCAGGGTCGAACGAGCTTTGCGGATCTCATATAGGCCAATGAGGATTCTTTTTCCCGAATGTACGAGCAGCCTGTCGGCCAGCGTATCCGTTTATGCCGATAGACTAATTACATCTAATTTGTTGTGGCGCATCAGGGCATATAGTTAACTGCGAGATTTAGCCAGGCTCGTCGATCAACTCTACGCTCTTGCTTGCACCCACACTGCTTTCTGAGTTATTAGTTCTATAATTGAAATCGGTGTAGATGGGCCTTTTCAAAGTTCCTTATTTTCTAGGCAATCGATCGAAGCTTCTATGAAACATCTCGTCGAGTATTTATCATTGTAAACTCGTTATCTGATCCAACTTACCGATCCGTCCAACATAGCGCTTCATCGCGGTACCTGAAACAAAAACACAAACAATTATGTTTCCGTACGTATCTTTATCTTAGATTTACGTGGCCCATTTTGTACATAAGTTGCACGTAGCGATCGCGCTCCGCTTATTTATTTTGAGCCTTAATCTATTTGATTTTCACATTTATATAAAAAAACAATAAATGTATTAATATTTGGCCTATATTTCAAGTTAGAGAAATGAAAGAAAAGAAGAAAAAATAGCTGTATTCTCAATTGAAGTCGAGTCGACAGCGTATCAAAGCTTACAGGGAAAAGCTTTTATACGAAAGCTCCGGTCGAGAGAGAGAGAGAGAGAGCTCCCATCGTAAATTGCTCGCATAAGCCTAATCTTGCTTACCGAAAAAAGTGAATATCTAATTCGTTAAAAATAGAATATTGCTAATGAAAAATTTCGTCGAGAAAAAAAAAAGATTTATTTAAAAGTAATTAAATTCATGACTAGTCGTTCGATCGTGAAAAATCCGACGATAAATCCACCAATTTTGATGCATTGTAACAAGGACGATAAGTCAGAAGAGGGTGTGTGCGTGTGCGAGTGAGGGAACAATCGAAATGTCATTAATCATGACTTATGTAGGCGCCTAAAACTCTAGATTCCTTGTCTAACTCGCATGCAACCCCTAAGAAGAAAGAGTGGGAGAGAGAGAGAGAGAGAAAAAGTCAAAGCCATTCCCCTCTCTGAAGTTTCGCGCAAGCAGCGATATATATAAGTTCATAAGTTGGCGTCAAGGGGGGAGAAGGTGACTGCCAAAGGAACGCGCGCCATCTAACACGTGCTGCTGGGATGCCCGCGTCGACAGGGACATGATTTAAAGCCAAATATTACGACAGTGCCCGAAACATTCCTCGGTGGCTTTTCGACCCTTGATTCAACGTCGTCTAGTTGCTGCGTCCTCGTCGCCTTATATTTTTTTGTTCTTTTGCTTGGCTTCAATAATATCTTGAATACGACAAGCATCCGCCCATAAAAATATCTTTGCTGAATACTTCACGAGAGCACACATACAGTACAACGACATTGCTTCTAAATTAAGGATATGATTATGAAGTTTATGATAATCGCATTTCTTGCGCGATTGTTTCAATTCTGGCGACGGGAACTACATTCTACTTAGTTTTTCTTTTCTAACGAAAGATCATTTATATTCGGTATATCTCATTTGAAATGAACAAGTAAATAACGATATTCTAGCATCACGGAAATGAGCAAAATAACACTTTAGGTTACAATTTACTCAAATAAATAAAAAAGGACGAAACACCTATTAATTTTTGAAATCTCATTTAGAATTTCGTGAACTGAGTGATAGTGATTCATTTCTTTGTCTGAATTTTGGGATGAACTCGTAAGACCGAATACTTTTTGTCAATTCTTATTAAATATTAAGTTGTAATATTTAAATATTTCACATTCGGCATGTGGTTGAAAAAAATTTCTTAACACTTATAGCTTTGTTCTTTGGATCATTTCAGGCGTATTTATTACTCATAAAAAATAAGCATCCGCTGTAAGTATCACAAAGGCGCCTTAACGAGTCATTTAATTAAATCACCGAGACGCATTAGCACCTAAAACTCTCAAGAGCACGTACGTATAAATAAGTTTCCTGTGCAAACTGTAGTCCTCACTCTCACTCTCGTGGGTGCGATATCCGCACTTTAATAATTGTCCGGTCCGTCGAATAAGACATTCGCTCGTGCGCCGCCGCCGGCAATAAAGCTACGGCAATAAACTCCGACTTCCTCCTTGCATCCTCTCTCTCTCTCTCTCTCTCTCTCTCTCTCTCTCTCTCTTTCTCTCGACATCTGCGGGAAAGCGAAGGAAGCAACCCTACGCAATATACATATATATATATACACATGTATATATATATATAACTAGTTGTGTGGCGACTATGGTCAGCTCTGGTCAGCCAGAAAAACAGATATAGCCAGCCCAATTACTAGCGCATTAAATCAATGTAGCGGCAATAAAGCTCTCGCGCCTCGCCACATATCTGTACGAGCTCGCTGCCGAAGGGGATACATGCCAGCTTGACCACGAGGATACGCGACTAGGTGCGACTTTTTGGTATAAATATAATGAGAGTAATTATCAACGCTTTTTCTTTCGACTAATATCACGTTCGTTTGTGACAAATTTATGATAGTGCAGGAGAGAATTCTTTATTTTGAAAACTAATTGAGTCGAGCTATCTCATAAATCTAATGGTAACTTTCTCAAACATCAATAAATATTTTAGAATAACATTTACTCACTAAAACGACGAAAATTTAATTATATGAAATTTATATGAAAATCTCTTTCAGCTTGCTTAATACTAGAGCACGTCATTGTGATCTGTATTTAGTATTTCAGTGTAAGTGTTCCTATTAAAAAAAAATATTTTATTGTACGTTGTCAAGAATAAAACAAATATTTTATTAAGAACAAAAAAATATGATACGATAAAAGCTACTGAAAGAAATTAAAGTGTCATCCAGAGATATAGTTTGAACAGTAACAAAAAAACATAGTCAAAACAAGAGAAAGCGATATCGTAAAGAAAAGATTCAATTCAGGGATATAGAACATATATATAACATCGAGGTCCAAACTAAACCGCAACAGATGTTGTTGGCTTGCTACCCGCTCTCTCTCCTCTCTCTCTCTCTCTCTCTCTCTCTCTCTCTCTGTTCCTGAAAATACCTATTACAAACCAATATTGGCTCGCTCGTCCATATACCTTTCTTTCTATCGCATTTTGGATTCTTGACCACGCGCCATGCTCGGTTGCAAGACGCGCCCGCCTACAAGCTCGAGCAAAACTTCGCCGCGATTACGTGCTTTACAAGTACTCATAATACGCCAAAGGGACGCGCTTTGCATCACACACATGGCGCCTCTACGCGCGATCACGTTCACCCCCCTCACCGCCCCCTCGAAACGGTGTAAAGTTCAACTTTGACTTTAACGCCGGCTGCGCGAAATGTCTCTAGCCGTGGCAGGGGACGTCGAGTTTTCCTACATGTGTAACCGAGTTGCTCTCTCTCTCTCTCTCTCTCTCTCTCTCTCTCTCTCTCTCTCTTTCTCTTTCTCTCGGATATACATAAGCACGTATCTTCTCCCTAATGCGCATTTCACACAAAAATATGTGTTAAATTTCGTCAAGACTGTACGAGAGAGAGAGAGAGAGAGAGAGAGAGAGAGAGAGAGAGAGGGAAACTGTGGCGTGCTTATGCTAATTTTTGAAATGGTAACCATTGTGGTTTAGTGCGCTTGCTAAATTATTCGCTTCAATTTAGCCAGAAAAAAATCTATGTCTACGAATAACTTTCACGGATACAAAAAAAGAATAATTAAATATATATTTACTTGTTCGATACAATTAATAAGACTCTTCATTAACAAGTCGTCTCGTAAATCTATATTTATAAGAAGTAGTCAGACATATATAACACAATTGTTTTTTCGTCAACATTACTCGTAAACTACAACCCGACCGTATCGAAAGTATTAACTTGACATCGATGTATGGTAGCCGTGACGATGCCGTTAACCTCCCAAAAACGACTGATTAATAGGATCAAGTTTATTGCGAAGGCTAACAAATGAAGATGAGTCGTTCTTGACCAGACACATTTTTCAGTCGAGCTGTATACGACTTCATCTTCTCAGCGGGCATTCTGATTGATCGTTGACATATTTGTGAGTGTGCTTTTTAATATGACGATACCCTCATTTCACATTGGTTTAATTGACCTACTTGTTTATGAATATCGTTGTAAAAATGTCAGTTGTCTTGGTGTTTTTGGCACGAGATATTTTCATGTTAGATCTGACGCGAAAAAATAACATTTCATATTGTATCCGCAGTACAATTATGCATTTAATTATGTACGGAATGTGTGAATAAGTATTTTATTTGGAAAACCAAGTCCCTATGCGTCACAGAAAAGAATGAAATAATGCACACGTACCGTCCAACTTTGGATTTCACCTTTGAATCTTCCAGCAAATGGCAAATCCTGCAATCAAGCGCTAGCATAACTATCGCGTATTTGCAATGCGTAACGTCAATTTACCATCTCGGGGTTCTCCTTCTATATATCGCGCGTTTCCTGTAGCGGTGCGGCCACGTGAGCATTTTTCAACTCGAAATTGAAATGCAAATAGACGCGCGACCCCGTGAAATTTGTCTCCTGCAAGCAGGCGGGGAGGGTGAGCGAGAAAGAAAAAAAGGTACGAACTGCACAACGCACACATTTTTGCCAACTCTCTTGTAATCGGTTCACGTTCACGATAATCGCTTATAGTTTCATGGACCTCTGAGCAAATGTTGCGAGAGTGGAGTTTTATGTCGCTCAAGTGTCATTATATCTCGGTAATTTGCGTATCGGGGTGAAGTTTCTCTATTGCGTTGACTCTTTTTATTTGACAAGTTGTTGCATTGCCAACATTGAAAGCGAAAAAAGTCGGTTAATTTCAAGTTGAAACCTATAAGGAAGTTATCGGCGGAGTGCAACATTTCGATCGTCTAATTAACAATAAGAATATGCGCAATTAAGAAAAAGATGAGCAGCTGCTAAGGTCGTATAATTAGCATAACAGCAGCTAGGTATTTCCTGGGACAAGTATCTCGGGAGGCATCGAATATAGCAATCCTGGCCATTATAGTAATCTTATCAGCATGCAAGTCTGCTAAGTAGTAGCGCGAAAGTGTCGGTTCCCCAGTGAAGCCTCCGTAAAAAAAGCTTATCAATTGGCGTGCTACGTATAACACGGCCCGTAAGTCACACACAGACTCTCATCTATCCGACGTAGGAGTAGAGAGAAGAAGGCTTGTCGAAGAAAAAGTTAACGACGACGAGTAGCAGGAGCAAATACGCAAGAGTGCCTGTAAATCGCGTGTCGTCCGCGCGGCCGTGTGTGTTGCCCACAAATGGAAGTGGATTCGAGGAACAGATATAAGCTGACATACCGGGCGTTCCAATTATTAAAT